CAATAGTAGTTTCATTTAGGCATTATTAACCATTAACAACTCATACGCATCACATTTGTATTCACTTAGGAAATCCCATGAAATTAACCCAAAGATTATAGGTAACATAGTCGGTCATCCTCACCTTAATTAAGCTTAAGCGCGTTCTACGTTTCTTGATTGAACTTTGACCAACTCCGGCGAACTTTGACCAACTCCGGCGAACTTTGACCAACTCCGACGAAACTCCGGCGAGGCTCAAAAATACTTTAAATCAAGTTCCTAACAAGGTTTTATCATCACAAAACCCATATCAACACAAATAACCTATAAAAGGTTATTTTCCGGCAAACCGGTCGATTTGGCTTCTAAGTCCGTTTTTGGACTTAGAATCACATTCCAACCCATTATTCCACACTTAAATCATGTAGAACAATACTAAAGGTCTTTCATATGATATATATCTTATATGCTAGAAGAAAAACAAAGGAAAAGTTATGATAAGGTCATTACCTTAATTTTCACACTTTTTCCTAGCTTTTTCCTTCTTAAACTTTCTTCTTGGACTCCCTTGAGCTTGAGTTCGGATTTGGGGCTATGGAGATGAAGTTGTAGAGGTTCTTTCCTCCTTTCCCTTGCTGCTGGCCGAACTACTGAGGAGGGGGATGGGTAGGAATGCCTCTTTGTCTCCTTTTGGGCAATGAGTGAAAGGGAGGAGGGCCACCATAATTTGTTTTGATGCCAAACATCTCAAATCAGTCCTCTCCCACCTCATATCTCTTACCAGCCTGCTAAGGCCCTGAATAATGAGGCTAAAATCGTGGGTTGGCCCCCACCCATGTGGGAGGTCAACCCTTTTTGTCTAGAAGTGTACAATCGGTCCCGAAAGTTGTATTTTTCCGGACTGTTTTAAGTATATTTTATTTTATCGGGTCAAATAAAATATAACACTTGTTCCCAATTCTTAATGGACCTTAGAATCAATATGCATCCCTCAACTTTAATTTACAAGTCCCCGAAATCCCTTTTCGGGCTGTTATCCGATAGATTGCCGATACTCATAATTTGGCCCCGTTTGACCAACCGGTCAACCCTATGCCATTGTCATGGCTCAACTAGGATATGCACCACCATATACATATTATCTAGTCCAAGATCAATATAATATGTGGCCCCGATAATATCGGGCGGTCCCCACTCCCGATGTGGGCCCCACGTGCATTTTACTATTCACGCGAAAAAATTAATACAAATTCACAACTTCGTAAATTCACTAAATATTTCATAGGGTTCAATAAATTATTAGCTCAAAGATAAATACATTTGGGGACGGTGTTACACAAGCTGTGCAGGGGCTACAATACGCAGATTGTCTCGAAGAAAAATAAATCGCTGTGGAGACAGACTTTTGGTAAAAATATCTGCTAGCTGGAACTGTGTAGGAACATGACGAACAACCAGATCTCCATGTGAGACTCGCTCACGAACAAAATGGTAATCAATGCTAATGTGCTTACTCCGAGCATGCTCAATAGGATTAGATGATAAGTAAGATGCAGACACATTATCACACAAGAGCCGAACAAGTTGGGTATCAGGTACCCCTAATTCGAACAAGATTGAGCGGATATGCAGAGTGTCCTGAACAGTGTAAGCAATGTCCCTGTACTCGGTTTCTGTGGAAGAGCGGGAGACAGTTGGCTGCTTCTTGGATTTCCATGAGATTAAATTAGGACCCAGAAAAATAGCAAAGCCTGAAGTGGACCGACTGCTGTCTGGACAACCCGCCCAATCAGCATCAGAATATGCCTGTAAGATAGGAGAAGAGGAGCTCGGTTGAAGGAGTAGGCCATGATCCGGAGTTCCCTGTAGGTAACTGAAAATACGCTTAACAGCCAAAGAATGTGACGTACGAGGTGCATGCATAAACTGAGAAACCAAATGTACAGCAAATGTAATATCTGGTCGAGTCATAGTCAAATACTGCAAAGCACCTACCATACTTCTGTACTCTGTAGGATCTGCAAGGAGATCACCATCAGTGAGAGATAGTTTAGTGTGGGTAGGAAGTGGAGTACGAACAGGCTTAAGGGTGTGCAAATGAAACCGAGTTAAGAGATCAGACACATACTTCTGTTGAGATAGAAATAGGCCTGATGACAGGCGAGTAGCTCGGACACCTAGGAAAAAATTTAAATCCCCCAAATCTTTCATGTCAAAGCATCGACCAAGAGAGGAGATAAAAGCAGAAATAAAAGATGGGGAATTGCCAGTAATAATAATATCATCAACATACAGTAGGAGATAAAGAACAAAAGACCCATGACGATAGATAAATAAGGAATTATCAGACTTACCACAAACAAAACCATGACTCAACAAAAAACTACTGAATCGATAGAACCAAGCTCGTGGAGCTTGTTTAAGACCATAAATTGAGTCGACAGATATGATTAGGAAATTGAGGATGTACAAAACCAGGAGGCTGACGCATATAAACTTCTTCAGTTAGATTGCCATGCAAAAAAGCATTTTTGACATCTAACTGACGAATGGTCCAACGAAACGAAGCCGCAAGAGACAGAACAATACGGACCGAATAGGTTTAACAACAAGACTAAAAGTTTCAGAAAAATCTACACCAGCTTGCTGAGTAAAACCTTGTGCAACTAAGCGAGCCTTATAGCGCTCAACAGACCCATCAGACTTAAATTTTGTTTTGTAAATCCATTTAGACCCGACCACATTCTTATTAGCACTAAAAGGAACTAAATCCCATGTATGATTGTCAATGAGTGCATTAAACTCTTCTGCCATAACAGCTCTCCACTTAGCATCTTTATTGGCCATAGAAAAACAAGAAGGATCACATGCCGACAAATCTGTTTTAAAAGTAAAAATACTTTTAGGTTTAAAAATCCCAAATTTCGCTCGAGTTTGCATAGGATGACAATTCTTTGGAGAAGGTGTAGGTGAGGATGCAGTTGATGTAGGGCTGGCAGAAGGGGGACTTGGCAGCGGGCTGGTGTTTGATGAGGTCGGTGATGTAGCTGGCTTGCTGGGCACTAGCGGTGTGGCCGCAGGAGTACTTAAGCCAGTGTTGTGGGTGGGTGGTGGGGATAAAAGTGTGGAGCCCGACTGGTTGGTGGTGAGCGGACAACGAGGTGGGGAGCCCTGCAGTTCGACAGTGGGAGGAAAAGAGTTGGCTGCAGACGAAAAATTGCGGTTATGTATGGCTATGGTATGGATACTGGACCAGCTGGACTCTTCCCTAGGGGATGTGGAAGATGTCAAGGAAGAATATGGAAAATAAGTTTCAAAAAATTTGACATTCCGGTTGATGTAAATCTTGTCAGTAAGAGGATCGAGACAACGATAACCCTTGTACTCGGGGGCATATCCTAAAAAGACACACAGTGTGGATCTGGGAGAAAGTTTGTTGGCAGAAGTGGCATTGAAATTTGGAAAGCAGGCACATCCAAAAACACGCATAAAAGAGAAGTCGGGAGTATGGTGGAATAATTTTTCAAACGGAGAAAGTCCATTTAAATTCGGAGTAGGGAGCCTATTAATAATGAACGTGGCTGTAAACACAGCATCTACCCAAAATTTAGCTGGCATGTTTGCTTCAAAAAGCATAGTGCGAGTTAATTCAAGTAAATGTCTGTGCTTACGCTCAGCTACACCGTTCTGCTCAGGAGTATCGGGGCATGATTTGCGAAATAAAATGTCATTGCTTGCAAAAATATGACGCATACCATGATTGTCAAATTCACCCCCTCCATCACTTTGAAAAATTTTAATTTTTGAGTCAAGTACATTCTCCACCATTGTTTTAAAATGCTGAAAATGTTTTACAACTTCACTTTTATGATGCATGGGATCAAACCAAGTAAATCTAGAAAAATCATCAATAAATAAAACATAATATTTGAAGCCACTAGTAGAAAGAACAGGGGATTGCCAAACATCAGAATGAATTAAAAACAAAGGAGCAGTAAATTTATGCCACACTTCTTGAAAGGGTAATCGTTGTGACTTTCCTAAACGACAAGAAATACAATCATGCGAAAAACTAGAAGTACTATAAATACTGCCAGATTTTTTTAATTTATCTAAAATACGACTTCCACAGTGGCCCAAGCGACGATGCCAGACCGGTCCGGGAGCAACATGAGAGATGAGAGCTACTAGTGAGGGATGAGCTATGGAAATAGGATAAACACCACCATTACTGGAAGCTTGGAGGAGCACCTTCCTCGAAATTGTGTCCTTAATACAAACCGATTTTTTTATCAAAAATCACAAAACAATTATTATCGGCACATAATCGTTGAATAGATAAAAGATTGTATTTAAGACCAGGCACATGATAACCAGATTTTAAAAGGAGAGGTCGGGGCATAGTAGAGAAGTGCAAATCACCAACAGTCATAACAGGGAGATTAGAGCCATTAGCAACTGTAATATGTAGTGGTCCAGAATAAATAGACTTATTTTGCAAAATACCTTCATTTGCGGTCATATGAGCAGAGGCTCCTGAGTCAGGATACCAAACAGCTGGGGTAGATTCACCAGTAGACACGATCAAGGCAGGAGCTTGAGTTTGAACAAAGCGGGAGGGACACGAGACAACTGAATGACCTGGAGAATGACAGATCTGACAAACAACGGGTGGGGGAACGGAACCAAAACTATTCTCAACCGATGGAGAGCCTGCAGAACCATAATTAGTACAAAAAGTAGAGATAGCAGGAGTATAAAACGATGACTTAACTGAATTACAAATTACTGTACCCGGTTCCCATGGATTGAACTGTGGTGCTCCTCGGCCGCCTGGAAACTGCTGGAACGGTGGCTGATTGGGACTGCCATAATAGGGAGTCTGGCCATGCGTGTTGTGTTGCTGATTTCTGCCTCGGCCACGACCCCTGCCGCGGCCACCGCGCCTGCCGCCACGTCCTCCACGAGAAGCCTGAGCCGGCTGTTGCTGCTGGTCGCCAGAAGCTTGAGCCGGACGGCCACCATCTGCCGAGTTAGGAGCCGCAAACGCTGGAGCAGTAGGGATGACGTCCAAGGACTGTTGGTAGCGGAGACGGGCATCTTGATGAACCAATTTGGTGCATAATTTGTCAAAGGTGAGCCCTTCAGGAAACAAAGTGAGGGGTCCCACGAGTGATTCATATCCCGGTCCCAAGCCCAAGAGTGTGTGCTGAATGAGATCGGTATCGGAGACCGGCGAATTAATTGAGGCTAAATTTTCAGCAATATTCTGAATTCGACGAACATAATCTTCCATGGACTGATTCTCCTTCTTCTTAGTATGGGACAACATCTGCTTTAATTCCATGGAGCGAGCTAGACTGGCAGCCATAAACCGGGATTCTAAACGGTCCCAAATTGCCAAAGAATTCTTCAAGCTATGAACCTCCATCAAAATTTCGCGGGAAAGAGTGGCAAATAACCAGGCACGTACCGTTTGATCCAATTTGAGCCAATGATAATATTCAGGATTTGGAGATTGAATTTGATATAAGTCATAGATATACAACGGTGGAGCAGGAAGAGATCCATCTAGAAAACCCAAAAGACCATTAGCAACCAAATAGGATTCAAACTGAGTACGCCAAGACAAGTAATCTTCAACGGCCACTAATTTTGAGGTCACAATTTGATTAATTGAAGCCCCAAAAGTCATGCCTTGAGCAAGGGAGGCATAGGAGGTGGGCAGTGGTGGAGTAGTGACTGATCTGCCAATTGTTCCTGCGTGCGGCAAGTGCAACCCAGGGCTGCTGGTTAATGTTGGCCCATCAAACCGAGGCCCGTCAGCGTTGCTGGAGACATCCTGCGACGCGTCTTGGGTAGAAGATGGCGGCTGGATTAACGGGCGAAGGGTTGGGACTGTCGGATTCCATGAGAAGATGGGTGGAACCCAGGAGGATGCCGGAACAGGAGTAGAATACGCCATCCAGGACTGCGAACTGAGCGGTTCTGCCGTTGAGGAGAACGGCGCCGTCGGCGGAGCAAGGGAAAGGGGCGGCGTGGTAGTCGCGCTCAACACTGTCTCAGTCACCGGAGCGGAGGTGGCGGTGACGGAGGAAGAGGCGGCGGCGGTTGAGCTGTCGGATGCCATAGGACCGAAAAAAAAATATAAAAACTGGCTAAAACCCTAGAGCTCTTGATACCATGTGAGAATAATGGAATGGTTTACCCAATTGGGAGCCCTAGATGTCATATATATAATAAGGAGTGTCCTGAATACAATAGGAAACCTAAGAAATATGGAAACCTAATTAATTATTCATTAATTACTCTATTAATTTAAAAAATAAAAAATGTGTAGTATTACATTATTTTAAAAGTAATATAGAAGCATCTGTTTTTTATAACATTTTTGTACGTAAAATTTTGATATAGTAATTGTTAAGAATGTATTTCTAAGTAGTAATAATAATATATAATCCACATACATATATGAAAACGAGTAAAATATAATTTCAAGTCAACTTGGCTAATAAATTTACCATTTTCATTACGTCGTATTGTTATTAGTTTATACAGATTCTTTGTTTTTAGATTATTTTACCATTATAGTCACAGTTCCGAGACACTACATTTAGAAATTATAAAGTATAATGAAGTCCCATTAAATTGAAAGGATAGTAAATAATAATGCATAATTGCATATGATAGTAATATAGTAATATTTACACAAAAAATCCAAATAAATATTAATATTTAGATGTCATTTTTGCATTGAAATTAGTTGAATATGTTCAAATTGAGCAGATGTTGGCTAAATTGGCTTGACTTGTTGAATTATCGAAAATTCTATTTAAAATATACGGAGTATTTTTTAATAGATTAAGGCAAAATTATATGAAAAATAACGAAAATGATTATATGCGGTAATCTCACCCAATTCGATCAGAATAATAACTTTAATCATACTTATTTTCATTATTAAACAATTCAGTGCATGAAATAAAAACTTAATTAATTAGTGAAAAATAAGATTGATAAGCTAAAAACATGAATCATCAGAGTGACGTGATTTTTCCTTTCTTTTTGAAGGAGCATGATTTTCCTTTTATTCAGGTCATATCTATTTAATTCAAACTAGGTATATATACCGTTGGGGTAATTGGCAGAATACAGAGACAACTCAATACGCAATGTACAAATGGAATCAGAAGCCCGCTATGACCGAAAGCCCGCTCGTTCTAGCCCGAGTGGCAGGCTCAGTTTGGTTGGCAGGAAAGTAAGGATTTTGGCATGAAGCGCATTAAATGCACAAGATATTCAAGATCTTATGGTTGAAAGATTAGTCACTCAAAGTCTTCCACATCATCACTACCATCTACCCCATGGTAGTATAAATAGCACTATCTCCGTCCCCTATTATTGTCCCATTGCGGTTTAAGATATTTGACCAACGATCAAGCAAACGTATCCCTGTCCGCACTCAAATTAATTTTAGGGGAAAGAATTACATATTCAGAAACTACATTAAAAGCTTTATAAAGTCGCAAAAGTCAGAATCAAATTTTATAAAAATTTGATATATAAAGTAAGAGATTAGGAGTGATTTATGTTGACCAAGTAAATAGGAACCGGTACAATAATAGGGGGCGGAGGGAGTATCATTTATTTCATTGTTAGTGGTCGACAACTTGTATATATATTCTCTAACTTTAGTCTTCTTTGTTCTTCTATAATCGCAACATAGAATAGATGCTGGACACTCGAATTGGTAGGGCATGTTGTAATTGCTCCAAGTGTTTAACTCAACCCACTTACATCACTACTCTTTCTTGCTAAATACTTGTGCCTTATAATAGTTACTAATCCTATAAAATATAACCAACTCACCAAAGTGTAATAAAAGTTCATGAGAAAGTTTTGGGCCCTAGAGGTTTAACCTCAACATATACCAATTCCAAAAATGAAATTTTGTCAATCCGGGATCTGAAAGATAAATGAATTATCAATTTGGGACATGAAAGATGAAATATCGATATAGGGCCCGGATGATGGAAAACTATCCATCTAGGATCCAACATTTCATAGGTTTTGATTTATTTAATTTTTTATTAATTTTATTGGTTTAATAAAATTGAATAATATTTATTTATTTTTTAAATAAAAATATATGTGATAATTTAAGTCTTATATGAATAGTTTTTAATCATTCAGATCCTAAATAGATAATTTTCCATCGTCGAATCTTCGCAATATATACGGTACACCCGGGTGTATGATATTTTGTAATATGATACAACTTTGATGGCAAAATTTGTATAGTTCCCTGCTCTTGACTACTTTATTCATCACTCCTGCATACGTTTGGGTCAACCCGCTGCACATTTTCCTTTCATTTTATTTCTTCTCCTTTCCTTCTTTTTATTTCTTCTCCTTTATTTCTTTTTTAGTTTATATCAATAATTTTTAATTACTTCTACTGAATTTCCTTCCCTTTAAGTTAATATATATTCCTCTTTCATTAATAATACTCCAGGTTTTTTTAATTATTTCCGAAATATTGAATGCTCATCAAGTGTTTGAAAAAATTTCAAAGTGAATGTTCATTCTTATTTTGATGAATTATTTTATTGTTTGATGCATTTGTATAAAAAATACTTATTATAAATAATTTTTCTTAATATTTTTCATTATATAATATACTTATGGTTGACTAAAAGAATTAATCAGATTAAGGCTATTTGCGAATAATATACTTTTGAATGAGGTTTATGAGTTTATCTAATACTTAAACGAGTATAACGTTTACGGAGAATGTGTATTGATAGTCTTAAAGTGAGCACTCATGGAGCCTCTTAGAATGAGTTTTGTGTTATAAGATAATGATATACCGTTTCAAATTTTTATATTCAATTGCAGAGTTCTAAAGCTCAATACACATAGTCGTGATGCTCAATAGTCGAGAACATAATAATATTCAACTAAGATATTTTGATATGTGAATGAATTTTTAAGATTTTACATACCTAATTTGGGAATTTTCAATGTTCAATAACAAAAAGAAAGTGAATGAGAAGTTATGAGACAAAAATCACGACACTCAATATTAGACTCCTAATACTCAACAGAATAAATGTCATGCTCATTAAAAGTGTATTAATGCTCAGTTAACAGAAATCGTGATTTTTATCTCAATAGAGGATGTTTGATACTCACTGAAAATGTTATGATGTTAAACTACTAACAAACCTATGATGTTCATATCAATGAACATTTTGTAAGTTACGTATGCTCATTTGTTATTGATTTTATGCTCATTTTTAGATGTCATATCAATGCGTATTTCAAAAGTATCATATTACATTAAATTCACATATCGAAATTCATGGGTGTATATAGATATGATTTAATATGTTTTTTAAAGAAAAAAATGAATTAGAAGATATGAATCAGAGATCGTGATACTCATTGTTAGTCTCTTAATACTCAATAAAATAGGTCAGATGCTCATTAAAAGTACACTATTGCTCATTTAGCGGAAGCCGTGATTTTTTCGCTTAAATTATAAAAATTCCACCGATTTTTTTTTGAGCTATATTAATTATTGAACTGTTTTCCTTAGTTGGGTGAGGTGTGCATCCACCCGCATGTATGATATAGATATAGAGCCCGTTTGGTATCACGAAAATCGGCTGATCTGGCTTATTTTGCTGAAATTTATGAAGTTCTGTCTGAAATGGCTGCATTAGCTTATTCCGCTGATTTAAGAAACAATTATTTTTAAAATACATTTTATTAATAAAATAAATAAAAAATTATATGTAAAAATAGATAAAATGGTCATCTACGATAACTTCAGCCAATACAGCCAGAAAAGTAACTTCAACTTTACTTTTTTATTATTACACAATTTAGCGCACGAAAACAAAAGTTACATGTTTGATGAAAAAGTTAGCCGATAAGTGTTATAACTTATAAGACGAAAAATAGTGTTAACAAAGGGCTTAATAGGACACGGGTATCTTATAACAATACATTTATCTTTGAAGTCTCTGATCCATAATTCTTTCCCGTCCTCATAAAATTCCGAAATAGAAAACCCTCCTCGATCGTCCCCTCTCCCGCGGCCTGAAATCTGCGATTCGGACCTCCGTTAAAATTTGGAGCGCATCCTCCATCGTTTAACATTCTGCGTTGTAAGCCCCGCCCCTATTTTCCGCTTATTATTCAGTTTATCAGGACTTCCGTGTAAGAACACTTCGAAATTTTGCACTTGGTGGTTTTATAGTATGATTCCAATTTCCAAGTTTAGTAAGTTTTAAGTGTTTTAATGTTACTAGAATCTACTCCGTATATTTTGTTATTTGCTGTTTACGTCTAGTATGATATTTAAATACGATTATTATCGTGATATGTTTACTCATCCCCTGGAGTATATAATATATGTAAATTTATTCCTTTCAGCTATTTGCAACTCTTTCAGCTATATTTATGTAGCTGGTTTTAGACTTTCCGCCATGGATCAAACTGATATACTGCATCTCACCCTATATGGACCGTACTTACATATTTTGCTGGTTTCGTTTGCTTATTTTTGTTCAACCTCACATGGTGCTGTACCACATTTCTTCAGAGAAGCATATCTATTTTTTCTTCTTTCGAAAATGCTTTTGAGATGAACAGTTTTATTAGAATTCTTATGAAAAGCCTTTTGTTATTGTATTATCAAATGTTTTACTGCTTTAGTAGAACAACTTCTATGAAAAGCATTTCTTCTTGAAGCAACTTTTACAAAATCAATTCCAA